TCTCACAAAACCATTCATTAATGGAAAACCCAAGTCCGTCGCTACGTCATCACTTCGGAATGTGCAGATAATACCTTAGGGGTACGTAGCGACGGCGAAGGGGTAATGTGCACGATAGGCGTTGCCTATTTTGTGCCAACGTTATTTAAACAACGCGAATTCAAATTTTTAGTATTCGAAAATCAACATTCAAGCTTAAACATTCAAATCAATTCACATTCAACAACAATTCAATTATCAACCAATATTCAATATACAATAAAATAGTAAGTGTACATAGCGTATTATATTGTACAAAATAAACCAAACAAACCAAAAAAGTGATTTATTCGTCAACAAAATCCGAAAGAATATATGGGGCAGTGAGCGAATACTGCAACCACCGAACATAATCCGTAATCCGTAATCTACCTACTCATGAGTGTGAGGATTCGGATTATGTTTCACATGGTATTGATTTTCTGACAAAATTAGTGGTGCGTGGTGCATTTTTGTGATTTTTTATACTTATACAGATAGCATCTATTTGGGGGTCGTCCATAGAGGGCGTCCACTGTTTTTCACCATTTTCTTATCCCTCCTACTCCTGGGGTCACAAAAGTCATATTTAGACGCCTTCCCTTTACAAGGACGTCACAAATTACGAACCCCTCCAAATTTTGAAAAAAAATTTAAAGCAAATAAAATTACCTAACAAATGGTTTTTTTATAAAACAATTGCAGTCCAAGGATTGGCCAACCAATCACCAATGTTTTCTATTACTGGTAAATGACATGGACCTTTTAAATTTACCTACACTTGGAATATTTAAAATTTATTATGTTTTTATATTATAATATAGCGGTATTTGCCGATACAATCTGTTTAATACACAGTTATTTGAGGACGTCACAAAAGTCCTAACCCTCTTCATCCAATTATCTAACATGGTTGATGACCCCCCCTTCCCCTATACGGGTGGATGTCCTTTATGAAAGACCACTTGTCATGAACACAAGCAATAAATCCCAAAATGAAAGTGCTGGTTGTATTGTGAAATATAGAACAGATTGCATCAATTGGTCCACATAATTTGACAATAATTATCGTAATATGTTTACTACAGTGATTAGTCCATCCAAATAATAATTAATAAACTATTGTTCGTAAATAACTGTAATCGAATTTGTAATCCGTAATTCAGCAAATTTTTTTCGTAAATATCTCATAAAAAATCCCTAATCCAAGTTTAAAATTTTCGTAAGCTGTTATCTATAATACAACAATAAATTAATGATGATTACACATCACTGCAAATAATCCCAAATATATGCATTAAACCAAAAAAATATTCATCCATTTTTCTTTTCGGTTGTTTATACCTTCAGTTTTCAGTCAAAAAGATTATTTATATGTAGGTGACAAGTTACTTTTAAGATAATTATAATAAAATAAATTTTATTCGGGGAAACCCAAACAATTAAATTTAAAAGTCGCTGTGCGAATATTATAGCGTAGGATCGAGTCGCGAAGATCGACTCGAGATAGAAGTGTAGGTGTGTGTCCAACCGGTTTTTTGCCTGAAGATCTTGTGATGATGTGCGAATTTTCGAAATTTCAGATGCTCGTACGTGACTAAAAGATTAAAGGTTGTCGCACACTTGTCCATGCATCGCGTCAAAGTACGGATCGGATAAAAATGATGTAAATGAATGAAGAAACAGAAAAGTAATGTCTTACAATACAAGTAACGGAAAAAATCCAAAAAAGTAAATTTTTAGTTACATCACAATTCCAAATCTAATTGTTATGTTGTAATTGTACATTTTAGGGATCGATTTTGGAGCGGGGGAACTTAAAACATATTTGAAAAAAGCAGAAAAAATCTTCTAGACTGGATTCCCGTAACAGACAAATTATTTACATCCCTAAGAGTTTGTACGGAACCCTCGGTGTATGAGTCCGATTCGCAAATGACCGGCTTTTTTTTAATGTTATTTATATGTAGTTATATCATACGGTTTTCATTTCACGAGAAAAAAATAATAAAATTGTTTAACTTGTTTCAAATTTCTACAAAAACATTTCACAATTTCGATCTTTTTAAAAAGTTAAAAAAAGTAAAATTCACTTACCGCACGAAGCTCTTTCGGAGTAAAAACAAATTTTAATATTTGGCCTCTCAACGGAACAGCCAAAATTAAGAAAAAGGGAAAAGCCAACGAGGCCTTAGTTTCCTTGATCACCCACAGGAACACTAAACAAGACAGCTGGATGGCTGTAAATAGGTGCATCTTCCATGTTCTGACCTGTAACAAATAAGCACGTGTAAAACAATTATCACCTTTTAGTATTTTAAAACACTACAAGACGATAGGCAATAAGTCGGAATTATAAAAATGTTTTTTCATTATATTATTAAACAGTATATTTAAAAGGGTATTTTGATTAATATGTAAAGATAGAGAAATCATCTACCTTATTTCAAAAAGACGATTGAAAATATTAATCAATTATTATAAGATTGTTAGACTACATTTTATCAATTAGGTACATCATCATCATCATCATCATCATAAGGTCGTCAGTCCTAAGACTGGTTGGACACGCACCTTCACTCTTTCTTATTCTGAGCTAATCTTCGCATTTCCCTAAAACTAGAACAGCCCACATACTTTTTCTACCCCTCCTAACTCCTGTTTCTGACTCTAATATGTTTCTGACTAGACCTTCATTAGGTACGAGGAAAACTAAAATGCAATAGACGGCAGTATCCAAAATTTGACCATTAGGATTTGATTTTTTTACAGACTGATTTGGCTTTTTATTTTACTTTTTTCAACAAAAATTAAATTTTAATTATCATAATAATCGCCAGGCACCTCCACTCCTTCCTATCTTAATTCAATATTTACATTTCTCCAAAAACTAAAATCGCACAATTTCAACTATGTATTTGCAAAATGTAATATAATCTAGGTCTTTTTCTACCACTCCTTACTGCCGTTTCTGCTTCTAATATATCTCGGACTAGCCCTTCATGTCTCAGATGGTGTCCTACCTATCTCTCTTATTAACTTCTTCAGCACTCTCTCTTCTACTTTTTCCAATACCTCGTCATTCCCAAACATGTTCCGAAAATACAGTTTTAATAGTGTTTTTTGAAATACCCAATTATCCGCTCAGGAATACATTCTTATTCTTCGTTTTTTCCACCCTTCTGACTTCTAATTAGATATTGAAAACGGACGACCCCTTCTAATCTTCCGTTTCCAATGTTTATTCCTTCATTACAAGAAATAAACAAGAAAACTTCCAATAAGTATTAATTTTGAATAAAAATATTATAGTGTTTTCAGAGCGTGAGACACAAAAATTAAGTATCATTAGAGCATTAATTATCGATTTCTCCGTAGTTTTTCCCGGAACTACATCTCGCAAATTTCCCTGGCAATCGAGAACGAAAATTCCGAGAGTAATACGATACTGAAAAAGTTCGCTATCAATTAAATTAACATATTCCTCATTTAATTTGCTAGCTATTATAATTACAGATGTGCGAAATGGCTTTCTAAAAGTATTTAAATACAAAATGCAAATACTTTTTTGATTTGTTATTTCAAATGTAAAATACAAAATAGAATTCCCTTTTGTATTTTAAATGTTAAATGATCATTGATTTGAGTAAATTTGTAGTGGTTCAAAATCGAAAAGTGATTTCAAGTTGATGTTGCATATTAACATTGACCACTATTAGTAATTAAAAAAAANTGCAGGACGTTACTACATTTTGTGGAATTCGAAAGTATTTGACTTTTCTTCTTTGGATTTCTAGACTAATAGTAATAAAAACTATATCACCAGCTGCGAAGATTGAGTATGATTCATATTTTTCTGTTTGAAGTGATTGAGATACAGTTTTTCGTTCTTTATGTTACAGTTTCTTCAGTTCCGCAACAAATAATTCTTCTATATGTTTCCTTATTTACCTTTGTCCCCCGTTTTAATTGGAAAAAAGACACTGATGTCAAAATAGTTTGTTTAGCGTGAAAGATCAGAGCCAAAATAGAGCTGCAAATAATTTCATTGATGTAAAATCAACACATTGTAACCAGAGAAAGAAATAGAATCCATAGTTTCTTTAGTTTTGGGTTCATCTAATAAGTGAAGTTTTTCGAATCGTTTTCTAAGAATTTTGGATTATACGCATTTATTAGCACACCACAATATCTTGCAGTTTTCAGTTTTACACAGCTGGCGCATATCAATTCGATATTGTTTTGCACGCTATTTTGTCGTAATTCATAGAATTTCGTAGTTTCTTGCTACGATATGTGGTGATTTGGCAGGTGTTGATACCAATTTGGAACTTCAAAACTCCATGGACCATGACATTCAAGCCGGAAAATAATATCGATCCAATACTTTACATGATCAATTTCTAAGGAATTTACAATATTTGGGGCTCTCTTCAGTTAAAGAATGTCTCTTTGGCCCCTTTTTACGCTTCTAGTACCTTCAATGGCCAATGTGAGCAACTTTCATTCATCATTTTTTATAACTGGCAAAACTTTTAACTGCAAAAATGTATTTTGCATTTTATAAATAGAAAATACGTTTTTGAAAAAGTATTTTCAATAAAATACAAAATGCTTTCTGTAAAAAAGTATTTAAATGCAAGTATTTCAAATAAATCACATCTCTGGTTATAATTCATATAAGGTAGTGATCAATGACACCTACGATAAAATGTTACGGTTTGGAGCACCCTGTATATAAAGAATTGGAGCAAACTTGTGAAGTAGTTCATCATACTGCTAAAGACATTAGTAGCTGTAATTATTGTCAGTGCAACGGTTCATATGTCTTTTTATGTTCGAGGTCTAGTTAATATCTGGGACATACGAAATGTAATAGAGTCATGTCAGTAATAAATATGGCACTCGGAGCTTCTGCACAATAAGTAAGTCGTATACCTTTCATTATTTAACATTCTCATCATCAGCAAAACGCAAGTGCAGTACTTATAAGGATTGCTATTGTTACGGTGGAAGCAAAGAGAGGAACAACAAGCTCTTTCAGAACATACTACGCTGTTACGCACTTCCTGTTTCCTACATAAACAACTACAAGGAATAAGGACTAGATTTTGTCATTATTATAGCGAGCTATTGAATAGCACGTCTTTTTAACATACTGCAAATGAAACTATCGAATAAAATTTTTATTTCTCTTTTTTCTTATGTAGTTCGTTCACACCAAAAACTTCCTTATTTAATCCTTTAAAGGATACGAGAAAAAATTAGTGACAACAATATCTTTAAATCATTAAATTATTTTTTTAAGAATTCTAATGTTTCCTATATATTAATGGTATAAAAAAATAATAAGATGAACAATAAAGAAATATTGAACAACAGAAAATTTGTCTAAAATTTTCATTTAGACTAGACACCCAGGGATACACTTTTGCTCTTTTAGTGTAAATCTCTTTGAAAATGGTTAAACGACTGAAACATATGTAGAAGCAACCTTTGTTCAATTATTTAAATACGTTTCATCGAAATTTCACACATCGCTATTTTGTACGACTAGTCTTTTAGCACAAAATAAAAAATGGAAGAGACAAAATCCTTTTAGCGTTAGACTTCAAAGTAATAAATAGTAAATAGAATAGGATAATTATAAGGTTAAATAAATATTCGATAATAACCATAAATTGACACAAAAGGAAAACAAATAAATATACTTCAAAACGTTTTTTTTTTGAAANCGTTAGACTTCAAAGTAATAAATAGTAAATAGAATAGGATAATTATAAGGTTAAATAAATATTCGATAATAACCATAAATTGACACAAAAGGAAAACAAATAAATATACTTCAAAACGTTTTTTTTTTGAAAGAATTGAATTAATAAATTTAAAGTTGTACTACTGAGCGGTTCACAAGGTAATTTTTTATTGGTTATTATATTATTATTTCATAAATTCCTACGAAAAATACATGTGACACTTTCACAGCTGAAGCGTAAATGGAACTAAATAATTTAGCTCTGTAACAATTGAAGTCGATGGCAGACGTACCAAGGATATCAAACAATGGATTGTAGCGCCTGTTTCAAAAGTAATGTAATTTTAACGGCTAAGTTACGCTCTTGCCCCATCCTACCTTGTATTATTTAACTAATACGTATAGGGTGAAACATTTTTTTTTGTGGATATTTCTAGATACTATTTATTTCAGGATGAAGTTCAACATTGGGAGAGATAGGATGATGGGATATCTTCTCAGATATTAAGAGTTTCTATAGAGATACCACAAACAGGAACAGGAGTAAAAAGGGGTAAACCCAAGTTTAAATTGCAGCTCACAAACAGTTTGAAAAAAGAGTGGAGGTGGGTGTTCATCAGCCTTCGGATTAACGAACAAATATCTAAGACAATTCTGGTACCTATTACATAATATGTAAAAGTGTTGACCAGTAAAAGCCTAAAATAAATACATAGGCTACTAGAAGATCGAAGTTCATGTATTTTAATGTAATGAATTAACAGACTTTTTCAGTCTACGGCAACAGTTTATTAAATATAACTTAAATTGAAGGTTGGTGATAAAAATAATTTACGTTCTGCTTTATTTAATCTTCCGGTAATAACCTACTTACTTTAAATAATTATCTAAAAACAACTGGAGTAAAAAATTACTTAGATTGTACAATTTAAGGATGTTTGGGAGGTACAATCGGAGACAAGAGTACATAAAATTAGAAATTCGTGATTAATTAGGTTTTGCAGCATATCATGAGGTAAATAAATACTATCTATACACAAGAAAAAGTATACGGTTTGAGAGAAAATTTGGAATTGACCAAAAACTTTGAATAAAATAAGATATAACGAATAATATGGAAAATTTTTAACTGACTTTTGGCAGTGAATATGCCTTGATTTCAACTTCGAAACAAAAAAATATTTAGTTTCAATCTCTATTAATAATGAGCGTAAAACTTTTTAATATGTTTAAATAATAATTAAAACTTTAAAATTGCATTTATTT